ACTTTGGAAGAGCACCCACTGCTCCTGCAAGTCTCTTTCACACCGTGTGCAGGGCAGAACCCAAGAGTCCTGGGGTCTTCCCTCCCAGGTGGGAGAAAACTGAGGGTCTGTATAGAACCTCTCTCTTTTACCCAGGCTGCTGAGAGAGCCTTATGAAGCTCAGGGGTAAAGTTTAAAAATTTCAAACAGTGGTGAAACATTAATGCTTATCAAAAACCAAAGCAAAGCAAAATAAACATCTACCTTATTTATCAATAACTTTCCTGGATTGAGACGGAGTAATACTTTATGAAAATACATGGATTGTGAAAATTAGTTTGGTGGGTGGAGTTCAGCATTTTTTTTTTTTTTTTTTTTTTTTTTTGCGGTACGCGGTTCTCTCACTGTTGTGGCCTCTCCCGTTGCGGAGCACAGGCTCCGGACGCGCAGGCTCAATGGCCATGGCTCATGGGCCCAGCTGCTCCGCCGCATGTGGGATCCTCCCAGACCTGGGCACGAACCCGTGTCCCCTGCATCGGCAGGCGGACTCTCAACCACTGCGCCACCAGGGAAGCCCGAGTTCAGCATTTTTAGGTGAAAGAATAGAATAAAATAGAAAATATCAAAGTACAAAATAGATGATGCAAGAAGATTTTTTAAATGTGTGTGTGTGTGTATGTCTTCCATGATCACAATCAAAAATGTTAAAGAAAAACCCTTGGAATAGGAACCTGGCTTGAGAGTGGACTGATAGACAGGTTGGGAAGAGTAGGGTAGTGATGGAGAAAGGTGGGTGCTTGGGCAGGTACCAAAAATAGACTAGTCCTTCACAATTCGCCAAACTCACACACCACACCATACCACACCCTGCATACACACTCTTCTATCCCTAACATCACTCTCCTAAATGCCTAAAAACTCCCCAGTTGCTGCCCCTGGCATAAATGCCATAGTCTCTACCCTTGGTCTGAAGGAGTCTTCTTGGAAAACAGCAGTCCAGGCCAATGCCCTCAAGAAGAAGATCAAAAACACCCAGAGACTTCTGCTTCTTTCATGGGCTGGTATAAACAGTTTATGAAGGGGTGATCAACCCAAGTATTCTTTACATAGCATCCTATTTTAGAGTCTCTGCTTTGAAATATTTAGATGAATAACATCATACATAGATCCCCCAGTTTTAGGTTAGATAATAAGCAGTTATAATTCAAACTTGAGAAAACCTGAAGTTTAGTGTTCTTAGTCACCTATATCACTTGTTGTACAAACACTGCAACAGTCTCTCCTAAGGAAGTGTCCATTTAAACCACATCCACTGCATGGTTCTCTCTAAATTGTGCAAGGACTGTACTCGCATGGTTCCTTCACCTCGTGTTAGATCTCAGACAGTTACTTAGGCTGCAGCCCAGGCAGCTGAGCTAAAGCCACAAGCATCTCTTCTAAGTTTCCTCATTTGGGTATGCTTGACATTTTCTCACCTTTCTTGCCAACGGGGAAACCTCACAGAGAGAGTGTGAGAATGAGGTTAAGAGTTTGAGGAGGGGAAACTGAAAAGCACTCAGCTGTGGAGACAATATACCGCCATGGCATCAGTGTGGGTAGGAGGCTGCAGCGGCTTCCAGGGTCTCCTCAGCTGCTCGGGCTGCCCAGGCCCTTCCCAGCCCCTTCTTCTTCCTATGGGGCTAAGAGGCAGCTTCTTTCCATTCTTTGAGCTTCTCTCCTGCCATTGCATCTCTGATTCCCTACCCTAGGACACTTTCCTCTGAGTTACCTGCACTAGGCAGCTAGCCAAGGCACCTCACCTGGGAAACTTCTTTCAGTGACCTTTGCTTCTTTCATTACCCTCTGGAAGTTTAGTTTCTGCAACTATTTAGCTTAATTTTGGTCTACCTTGTAGCATATTTAATTGTTAGCACCCCAATCTCGGGGGCAAAAAGAGGGCTGCTAGATGCCCATATTGTTCTGTTTCTTGATCTAAGTGGTGATTTCACAGGTGTGTTTGCTTTGTGACAGTTCATTGAGCTGAACACATGATTTTTGCATTTCCTGTGCATATGTTATATTTCAATAAAAGGGTCTTAATATTCCTATCTTGTCCACTAGACTCTATCCTGAGGACAGTATTCTCCATATGTTCCCTAACTTACAGTAAAATGCTGACACTTAAAGAGTTATCAGGAGGCCTTGATTTAAATTTTAGTGACCCTTTTTATGGAGGCAGCAAGGTCCAGTAGAAAAACACTGGTATAGAAATATGGAGACTTGAATCTAATCCTGCCCCTATCATCATTTACCTAAACTAATTTAGGCAAGTTATTTGGCCTCTCTAGTTGTCGGCTTATACAACTATAAAATAGACCCCACTGCACCTGCCTTCCTGACCTTACAAGGATTCCTTCTAGGGATTAGATGAGGTCATGGTATAAAAGCATAAAAATGTGGAAAGTGTTAGACAAATGTGAGGTTGATTTTCTCAGGAGCCTCCTGCCTGCATCCATGTCTCCTGGTCTGGATTAGATTGTAGGCATCCAGGGATGAAGCTTTTGTACCTCTCTTTGTGCAGTAGCAATAGAAATGCTTTTATACTATGAAGGATCATTTTAAAAGAATGTCCACTCATCCCCCAGCCTGCATCCCCAAGTCACCTCAGAAAGCCTTCCCCAGTGCTCTCTCTGAGCCCCTGTTTGCAGTTTCCCATGGGGTTTGACTCATGAAGATCGCTTCTGCCTTCCCCCTGGGGCCACACCTGGACTCGCTCACCCTGCAATACGCAAAGAGCTGTAGCCTGGCAGGAAGCAGCTGCAGTGGACCTAGTAAGTGGAAGGTGGTGGGGCAGGAGGGAGGAAAATGGGGTGTTAGAAGTGTGAAGATCCTGCACAGAAAAGGGCCTGATCACCTCCACCATGGGCTGAAGTAAAAAGGAGGTGCTCCCCTTAGACAGGAGCTATTGAACTTCTTGCTCAGAAGTTGACTGGTCGATCAAAAAACAATTCTAAGACTTTCTGTCCTAGATGGAAAACGTGGGACCCCAACCAGAGCTAAATATCTAATCTAAGGGCTAGGAGGGGCAGTATGATGTGAAGGTTCATGGCACCAACTTTGGGTCAGGTAGACCTCAGACTGAAATCTTGGCTTTGTAGCGTTCTAGCTAGAGACCTTGACCTCCCTAAATCTCACTTTTTACATCTGAAATGTGCTAGTAGGTACCTGATGAGTTTTTCACGTGAGTAAATGAGAGAATGCATGAAAAGCACTTAGCACTGTGCCTGGCACATAGTAAGCTCTCAATAAATATTAGTATTTTTTTTTTCCTATTAAATACAAAGGAGAGCCTTATGAATGTTTGAAATAAAAAATAAAGGTAGCCCAGGTATGGGGTGTGTGAGTGCCAAAAGGATGGGAAGGAAAAACAGGGAAAGACCACGAGCAAGCATTTGAATTTGAGTGTGAGGTTTGGGGAGTAAACAGGAGAGAATGTGACTCAAGGGACAGAATTTGTGACATTTAGAAGAATAACACAAATGGTGTAGTGCATCAAATGGTTTGTTAGTTTGTTAATATGGAAAGTTCTTGTTAGTTTTTAGCTCCAGCACTGTGGTATGGATTGAGGAAATTTACTAACTTTAAACTGGCTCTATCAGGTAGGCAAAGATTTCTTAAACAGATTACAAAAATAACTCTTACAGGAAAATATTGATTAGGCTTCATTAAATTTAAGAAATGTTCATTAAAATGCACCATTAAGAGCATGAAAATTCAGGCTACGGACTAGGAAAAGATATCTGCAACCCATGTATCCAACAAAGGATTTAAATTTGAAGTATTTAAAGATATCATACATGTCAATAAGAAAATGATAGTCAACCCAAATAAATAAGATTTTAGGGGGAAGGGGAAAGTGGTAGTAGACTTGAACTAAACAAAGAAGATACACAAATGACCAATAAACATATGAAAAGGAGTTTACTCCTCAGGGAAATGCAAATTAAAACCACTCCTTACCTTCCAAATGGGGGGAAAAAAGGTGTTGGCAAAGGTATGGAACATCTGGAATTCTCATGCATTGCTGTTGAGAGTGGAAATTGGTACAAACCCTTTGAAAGTGGGTTTAGAAGTATCTACTATAGCTATACACATGCATATCCTATATCCGCCAAATTCCACTCCTTAGTGCAAAAGAATGCTCATAGCAGCGTTGTTCACAATAGTCCCAAACTGAAAACAGTCCGAATATCCATTAATAGTGGAATGAATAAGCAAATTGTGATAAATTTATAGAAATGGAATATTATTCAGCAACGGTAATGAACAGACAACTGCTAACATAACAACATAGATGAACCTTGTAAACATAAAGTTGAGTGAAAAAAGTCCAACACAGGAGTACAATTTCATTTACCTAAAGCTGAAATGGAAAAAACTATCTATGATGATCCATGGCAAGACAGTGGTTATCTTTAGGGAAGAGGAGGTAACTGAGAGGGACCCTGGAGTGGGGGTGGAGGAAGCCCTGGAATCACATTTCATGTTCTGTTTCTTGATTTTTATGGAGGTTACAAAAATTTCAATTTTAAAACCTCATCGATTTGACTATGAATTTTGTATTTTTCTGAATGTGTTATAGGTCAATAAAAAATGTTTACTTGTAAACTAAGCAGAACCTGCTCCCCACTCCTATGTAACCCCTGAAAGAGGAATGCATCACCGTCACTTGTGAGATGTGGCCCTGTGTGTGCAGGCGACTTTGCCAGATGACTTGGAAATCTGAAGCCCTTCTGGGAGGGGGCACATCCCCGTCTGGGCGTTGACAGGTTGACAGAAAGATCAGGTGGGCAATGAAGAGTTAATCAGGCACAACTCTGAGAAACTCTGTGAATTAATGAAACAACTTACACACCCTAAAAGAGAGTCAGGGCCATGTGTCCTGCTAGAAGGACTCAGGCAGCAGGGTGTAGGAGATCCTGGTGAGGCAGGGACCGGGACTGTTGCTAGAAGAAAATTGAGGCATGGAGAGATTAAGTTACCTCAATCCAGTCACCTGCTGTGAAGTATCGAGATATGAATCCAGGATTTGAACTTCTGCAGCCTGGCTCCAGAGCTTGGAAACTTGGCCACCAACCTGTATAACCACTCAAAGGATGCATGAAATTTCAGGCAGGGCTGTCCAGTAGACATGCAGTGGGAGCCACATATGAAAAAGTAAGAAGAAAGGGGTGCATTCATTTTAATGTTATATTTTATTTAGATAGATATATCCAAAATATTATCATTTTCACATGCAATAAATATAAAAATAATTATTGATGAGCGAGTTCACATTTTTTTTGACACCCGATTTTGAAATCCTGGGTGTATTTTACACTCACAGTATATCTCCATTTCAGGTGCACAGGTGACTTGTGGCCAGCATTTTGGACAGCACAGGTCTGGAGAGCAGGAGAGGAACAGGAAGACTACCCAGGTGAGAGGAATGGCTTGTGAGAAGGCTCAGGGAGAGGAGTGCTCTGAGCGTTTCGGGCATCTTTCCAGGAACTGCCAGAATTTGAGCATCCCAATAGCTGCTCCCAGGGAAATTTGCTCTGCGGCATGGCAAGACCCCTTTCTGCCTCTAGTGATTAAAGAGAGCTGAGAACATACATCCAAAACGGCCTCTGCCAGAATTCTCTGGGGGCAGGCTTTCAGACCCACAGTCTATAGGAGTCAATATGAGGCCTTCTTTCAGCCATGCCTCCGTAAGTCTCAGAGTAGGAAGCCACGCCTGGCCACCTTCACCTCCTATGCTATCCCTCCACTCCCCTTCAGGCACACCCTCCTCAGGCTCTTTCTTCACCCTCTTCTCTTCTGCACTCCCTTCCCCCTCCTCCTCATGCCTGACTCACAACTTGGGGTCTGCTACTCAGCCTTTTTCCTCCTGCTCTCTGCCTCTCTAAACCTCCCCACTCTTTGCTCGCAATCCTGGTACAGCCTCTTCACATAATTTATGAAGTGCTCCACTCTAACTAGCAACCACAGTTTGGGCTGCACAGTCCCGTATGTGTATCTCCACATACACTTGTCCAGTCAATTTCATTGTCAGTTTGTCCTCTGATCAGAGCTGTATCTTCTATCAGTGTCAGATAGACAGTGAGCAACTTATAAATAAGTGTTGTGAGAATAAAACTGTCAAGGTGTTCAAAGAAGCTGAATTCTCACGCCTACCTGACTCTGAAAACAGGATGAATGAGATAACTACATCTTAACAGTCATTGCGCATTTGCCAAATAACGGCCTGTTGAATCATTCTCTGAAGTCTTTCTGATTACAACATTGAATATGAATGAATTCTCCATCTGTATAGGAAACAGTGATACACGATAATGTGAGCTGTGCGTGTATTTAACTCATTTAGAAATGCTGGAATTACATTTTGAGATGCTCCAGGAATAACGGACTGAGTGATGCTCATTTGCAGACAAGCCTGCCATGGAGGCGTGAGCAGGTCCTAACAATGCCAAATGTTAGGATCAGCCACTGCCAGAGGTACATGAGATGCAAATAAATAATTTTCTCAAAAGATTTGCAATAATGCTCTATTCCTATGTAACACTAGGAAAAATTTAATTAAAATAATTGTATTATCGTCCCTGAATATATAGTCATTGCTTTGAGACCTTCATCAAACAAAACCATGGAAATCCCTTTGATTCTTGGAAACAATGGCTGTTTCTACAGAAGAAACTGGTGGTTTCCAGGACCATGTCCATGGGTATGTTGTAAAGCATAGGATGGAAGCTCTACACTGACCTGGGTGAGGTGCCAGTTCTGCTGAAAATGAACACGAGCAAGTACAGGTCACTAGCTCTCTGAACTGCCTCTCTTTTCATCTGTAAAATGGGAGGAAGTAAACTTACTTCTTAAGGTGGAGTCAAACACTGGGCAGAATGCACATCTATCTCAGGGCTTTGCTACTCCCAGGGGTAAGAGTGTCGAGGGTGAGTGGGGGAACCCCGAGGTAGAGAATGAGAATGAACTTGCCTGCTCTGATTCTCCCAGAAGTGGGATGGAGCTTTGCATCTAGTTTCTTGAAGGGAATTATAGGGGAGAAATATGAGTCTCAGGAGAAGAGAGCAGAGTTAAGTCACTCCTCAATTCATGACCCCCAGTCATCACCATTCTGGGCAAGGCCTTCTCTCATTTTGTTAGCTTTTGTTTTATTTTTTCTTTTTTTATACATTTCCTTTTCATCCCTGACTTCTACTTGCCCCCACCCCAGATACTAATACGTACTTGGTTGTGTACATATATTAATACATTTGAAATTTCATGATGCTGTATCATCATTGTATACATTTAAAATATATATGTATGTAAATATATAAGTATATATATGCATATATGACAGTGGACTATGGAACTCATTCCTTTTTTTCCTTCTCTTTTCACTCAGCTCTATGCTTTTACGAGTTGCCCATGTGTTTGATGAACAGTATTCCACATTTATCTATTCATTCCCCAATGATGGACACAGAGGTAGACCATAAAGCATAATGGTTAGGAGTGCACACTCAGGAGCCAGACTGCCTGGCATCATTTCCATTGACCAACTGTGTGAGCTTAGCCCATTTACTCCACCTCCCCATACCTGTGTTCTCATTTCCAAAACAGAGATAGTAATAGTGCCTACTTCATGTAGAGTACTGAGAACATGTAAAGTACTGAGCACACATAAGCATCCAGCAAGTGTGAGCCATCAACATCATCATCGTCATCGTCATCATCGTCATCATCATCATCATCATCATCATTATAATTCCCACACCCAGTGGTGCATAGAACACCCTCATATACATCTCTTAATGGACTTGTGCCTGAGTTTCTCTGGGGTGTAGACTCCAGAGAGGGATAGCTGGGTCACAGGGCATAGGCGCACTTAATTTCACCAAGTACTGCCAAACTCCTCTCCAGAATGACTGCTCCAGTCTACATTCCCACCATCAGTCCCTGAGGGTTCTGGGAAAAGTTTTCTCAGCCAGTGAGAGCACAGATTTTAACAAGTCTCCTCTCCAGTTGCACTGACATCATCTGTCTGGGAGACTTCTGTCCAAGTTGGGTGGAGAAACAGCTCTAAGCCATGAGGCTGATTTAGAAGTCTGTGCGGTTCTACTCTCCAGAGCCCTAAATTCTGTAGTAATTATCAAATAGTAAGCTCATAACCTTGGGGGAGGGTATCAGAATCACCCTGGAGGAATGCGGTTCAAAGTGCTTCACCAGGGAATTCTGACTCGCACACCGTAGGAGAGCATGCATCTCTCACTCCATAATCCCAAGTAAGAGTCCCTGCCTCTGGGAGCCACTGTGCTGATGGATGGATGTTGTCAGCACAGGACAAAAGGTGGAGAACCACTGTGGGAAGGGTAGGCCTGCAGTGACCCAGGGCCCAGGGTTGCATCAGGGCTGATGCAGCCTAATGGAGCGGGAAGGTCCCTTTGTTCAGAAAATTCTCCTACTGTCAGACAGCCCTCTATAGCCTGGATAATACCAGAAATGTCACTACTCAATTTAGTCTTTTGAGTTAAGCCCATATTTTCTCTTGAAGACCATGCTCTATCAACATGTTATCTGGGCTCGATGTTACTTGGGCTCTATTGCCTACAGCCCAATACCTGTTAGTACCAAAAGGTGTAAACATCTAGGCAGGAGTCCTTGAGGGACTTGGAAGTTTGGTAGGCAAAGTATTATCAACGTTTGATAGATTTGGGAGATGTGTGTCCAGGGTCCCCTCTCGGGGATAGTAAGTACAGCTCTAGAGGAGATTCTGAGGCCCACTGAAGGCTGTTATTTAAATCCATCCTGGCACCCACATCATGATAAAGATGATAAACCTTACACTTAATAACTGCCAGGTTGAAAGCTAATACTGGGGGTAGGGTTTGGGCACAGGAGGTAAGGGCAGGGACTAGGTGTGTAAGGGTAGGAGAGGTTAGGATGAGGAAAGCAGCAAGCAATAAAAGAGGTTGAGGCTTGATAACTGGGTCCAGATGCCAGAGAAGGAGGTTCAGTGCCAGTTTCCCCGTATCCATGATTTCTCCCTTACAGCATATTCCATTCACATCCCGTTCCCACTCCCACATAGGGAAAGCAGGGCTGAAGCTAGACCCCATTGCATCCAGGGGAGGGAATGCATCTTAGGTTTTGTCTCCCCAGTTTGGTGCCAAATTGTTATTGATGAGTGTCCCTGTCTTGTCCTTCTGGGACTAGGCCCTAGTGGATCCAGCATCCATGGCCCTACAAATGAGGTTCCTCAATCCCCATCCACAGGTTTGCCCTGCTCCAGAAGAGACAGGCCCAAAGGAGAAATTTAAGCCTGAGTCCTGTCCAAAATTACTGTGGCCTCTGATCTATCCCTGACTTTGACCCCCAATTCTGAAAACTGGGTCAGCCTTAGCTCAAAAATATTTATGGAACACCTGCTATGAACCAGGCACTCTGGTCCTTATTGGAGATACAGTTATGGATAAGATACTGGCCCTTGTCTCATGAAGATTACAGGCTAGGGTCCAGTAAGTAGGAAGTTGCAGTAAACTGTGATGAACATTGGGATAGAGAAATGGAGGCATGTATGAAGACAGCTAACCCGAACTTGGGGAGAAGGAGTGGGGCAAGAAAGACTTCCTAGAGGAAGTGATAGCTAAGCCCTGATGTAAAACACAAGTAGAAGTGAACCCAGCAAAGAAGAGGGCTGTGTATATTCGTGGGTCAGAGATTTTGGAGGAAGGAACAGCAAGTTCCTTCCTCCAAATGGCCTAGAGATTAAAGAAAGCAGGATAAGTTCAAGGGTTTAAACATAATTCTATATGGTTAAAGCCACAGAGGATCATGGAGGAAGGGCAAGAGATGTGACTCAAGTAGTAAGGAGGAGTCAGATGACCATGGGCCTTACAAGTAGAGAGATCATACACATTTATTGTCCAAATTGAAGACTCAACAGTTATAAACTGGGACTGTTCTGGCAAACCAATTCATATCATCACTTTAATTATAAATTGATTTAAGAGATTCAGCTCTAACTGAATCTGGGTTTATGTTTTTCTTTACTGAGCCTCACCTCAGTGGCCTGCCTGAAACCTAAGTCCCTCCTGTACAGAGGCCCTGACTTGTTCTTGCTGAACTTCTCCTAGGAG